AGACCATACAGATGGCTATTCCTGGAAGGGCTGAGCTTTAATTACCAGAACAAAAAATATAAAATTAACTCTGTTCCAAAAGCGGAAAAATTTATGGATCAAATGTTTAATACAAAAAAGAAGCAGAAGGAAAAGAATTTAAAACTGGATGGGGAGGAAGAAGAAGAATCCTACTCACAGGATTCAACAAGCCAAAATTCCATGTCATCAGAATCATCTGAATCGGAGAAAGGAGAGGCTGACCCCAAACTCCAGAAAACGAAGAAACACAAGAAGAAAAGACTCTATAACTAAGACAATAGCACTAAAGGCAGTAATTGTGTTAAGCTATTAAATGTGGATTATCATAATTGAACCAAATCTTGATATAACGTGTTATATTAGGTTAAAAAGCATTATTTTTTTCCAACTATTCAGATCGTGACATGTATTAGACTTCCTTTCCCCAAATCCAGTAGATGAAATAGATTAGAATGGTAGTTCCCCTTTCCCTATCAAGTAGATACATGTATTAGAGCTCCTTTACCCATTACCCATAGTATTAGTGTTAGGGTATTAGTATCCCTTCCCCTATCCCATAATTGTAGTGTGTAGAAAATGCAAAAAAATAAAAAATTCCCCTTCGAGGGGCCAAAAAGAAAAAGAATAAAAAAGGAGAGAAAATGGCTGCTTTGAAGGGTGGACTCTATGGCATTGTACCATGCTGAGGCCCCTCCCCTCCCCAAACCCCGCCCTCTCCTGGCTCCACCCCCCAAAGTCTCCAGGTATTTTCCAACCCAGACCTGGCAATCCTAGAAATACCTGGAGGTTTGTGGGGGGCAGCCTGAAGGGAGCAGGGTTTGGGGCATAATACCACAGAGTCTAACTTCCGAAGCAGTCATTTTCTCCAAGTGAACTGATCTCTGTCACCTGGAGACCAGTTGTAGTGGAAGATCTCCAGCCACCACGTAAAGGTTAACAACCCTAAAGGAGACTCGTGGCACCTTAAAGACTCACAGAGTTCTTGTAGCATAGGCTTTTGAGGGCTCGTGTCCACTTCTGACAAAGTCGTTAATGCCCACGAAAGCTTACACTACAATACGTCCACCAGCTTTCAGGGTGCCACGAGATTTCTTTTTGCGGAGAGAGTGGAATGGCAAACAACCCATAATCAGCTTCCAGGAAGAGAAATGCTGAGGTTCGTGTCTGTCCAGACACACTGAAAGGTAGGAGTGTCAGACAAGGATGTGGAATACTCAGGTTCAACTCTCCACTGTCGTGGAAGCTTGTTGGATGTCCTTGGGCCAGTTACACACTAGGAACCAGCAGGAGGGTTGTGGAGAGGGGGAACAACATCCGGGGAGAAAAAAAATAAAGGAAAATGCCACATCCACTCACGGGAAGTTCTTACAATAGAGTTCCTGGCAATTCCCAGAGCTACCCAGAAATGACTAAAGGGTAGCTTTAGGAATCACTGGAAACCCTATGTTAAAACTCAAAGTTCTTACCATAGAGATCCCTAGAGCTACCAATTGTCACTTCCAGATAGCTCTCGGAATCACCAGGAACTGTACAGTAAGAACTTCCTTTAAGAAGATTTGGCCTTATTTTATTTTATTTTTTTCTCCTGTCACACTTCCAGCAGCAGTGGGCAATGGGAGCTGGGGGTGAGGGATTCCCCACCCCCACAGGGTGTTTGGCAGCCCTATTACATTCTCTCAGCCAACCCTACCTCACAGGGTTATTGTGAGGATAAAATGGAAGAGAGGGGAGAACAATGAAAGCCATTTTGGGTACACACTGTGGAGAAACGTGGGGTGTAAATGAGACAAATAAACAGTATACAAGTAAGCCCCTCATGACTAATTCCTGCCGTGCACGACTCTCTGGCAGAGATTCAGAGGACCGTGGGACTGGATGCGCACCCTCAAAGGGGTGTGGAGCTTGTGTACCTCGAGCCACCTCTGAAACTGAATGGGTTTTCAGAAGTCGTTTGTGATAGGAAGCTCAGCTCTTCAAAGAAGCCAAAAGTCAATACTCCCAGCAGGCTTCTTTTCCTGAAGCGCCCTTTGAGGTCTGGTCCTCTATAGTTCCTCAGTGATGAGGAAAACACACTTTGGCTCCAGCCGAAGGACACTTCAGCCATGCTTAAAAACAAACATACGCTAACCCCACAAAAAAATCCCGGTAACTGTTGGAGATCCCCTCAAGGGTTTTTATTGGTTTGTTGAAAGATTTAAGTCGAGAGTCTCCAATCGTGAGCACTTTTTGAATTTTGACACAGGGCAGTTGGCACAACTACGAAATGGCTACTGCAAGAGGCGGAGCCAGCCAGAAAATGGCTGCTGAGGGAGGCAGGGCCATACAAACACACGGGGGAAGTCCAAGTGCAGTGGAGAAGTGGGATGGTTTAAAAATACACAGGGAAGCAGGAGGGAGGGAATAAGCGTCATTTCAATCTGCACCGCCAATCAGCTCTACGATGGCCAATCAGAAGCACTGCTGGGCAAAAGCTCCACCCACTTTGTAAAAACACTTGGCGGTTGCCCGCAAAGGTGTTGGTGGGCCCCACCTGCCCACGGACAACGCATTAAGGACCCTGATCTAGGTATAAGCGAGCTCCTGCAGGTTTAACTGCACGAACGTCTCAAAGGCAGAAGAGGCAGCAGCTAGGCATCCTTTCATCATGCCTGGATGCGGCTCCAGCTGCTGAGTACCATCGGCAAGGCCAGAGGAATTAAAGGCAGCAAACAAGAACTCTTCTGCTATGCTGGGATGCAGACCTCACTAAGACACTTCCCCTACGTATCATCTTTATACAGGGCTATTTTTGGGCAGGAACACACAGGAACGGAGTTCCGGCTGGCTCCCGAGTTGGCCACGCCCAACAGGAACTCATTAGCATAATAGGCCACACCCAACAGCAGAAACTCATTCGGATTGGCTACATTCGGGGTGTGTGGCCTAACATGCAAAGGAGTTCCTGCTACAAAAAAGCCCTGGGTTTTGACAACAAACAAGGTAAACAGAATAACAAGCAAAAGCTGGGTGTGGCTGGATAACCACACTTCTGGTAACGTGGGGGTGCGGCCTAATGTGCTAATGAGCTGTGCTGTCAGGGGTGTGGCCCAATATGCTAATGAGTTCCTGCTGTTGGGTGTGGCCTATTATGCTAATGAGTTCCTGCATATATATATATATATATATATATATTTATTGTAAGCTGCTTTGCTAAAATAAAAAAAATGATATAATATCTGGAAGCAGATAAGCTAAAAAAAAAAGAGAGGAGGATCACATGATCTATTAGAGCATTCTAAACTCCATGGAGAAGGGAGTAGAAGCAAACACCTCCTACTCGCAAAAAGAAAGGCGTGGCATGGCCATTGGTCCCCACCACTATCAATCAGTACAACAACTCAAAGTATGTCCTGGTGGAGTGTAGGTTTGGTGTAGTGGTTAAGAGCGGCGGACTCCAATCTGGGAGAACTGGGTTTGACTCCCCACTCCTCCACATGAAGCCAGCTGGGTGACCTTGGGTCAGTCACCGTTCTCTCAGAGCTTTTCTCTCCAGAGCAGTTCCCTCAGAGCTCTCTTAGGCCTCCCCTACCTCACGGGGTGCCTGTTGTAGGGAGAGAAAGGGAAGGTGATTGTAAGCTGCTCTGAGACTCTGAGTGAAGGGTGAAGGGTGGGGGGTATAAATCCAACTCTTCTTCTTCTTCCCTCAAAGCTGCCACTGCTGTCTCATAAGAACATAAGAAGAGTCCTGCTGGAACAGGCCAGCCCAGCCGTCCATCTAGCCCAGCATCCTGTCTCACACAGTGGCCAACCAGTTCCTCTGGAGAGCCAACAACAGGGCATGGAGGCCGAGGTCTTCCCGATTTAACCTCCTGGCACTGGTACTAAGAGACTGACCGCCTCTGAACGTGGAGGTTCCCTTTAGTCACCATGGCTAATAGCCCATGATTGACCTATCTCAATGAAACTGTCTAATATCCTTTTAAAGCTGCTGAGATCTCGAATGGGAGACCTCCAAGGAATACCAGGGTCGTGACGCAGAGGCAGGCAATAGCAAACCACCTCTGAATGTCTCTTGCCTTGAAAACCCCATGGGGTCGCCGTACGTCAGCTGTGATCGGATGGCACTGCCCACCACCACCACATTCCACTCCTTTAGCCTGCACCTCCTTATTGAAGCTGGTGTCGTGCCTCGAGAACCACGTCCCTACACTATTTCAGCTGTAGGAATCGTGGGAATAAGGACTTTCACGTGAAACCCCCAAAGAGCTGCTGCCAGTCTAAATAGACGTTACTGATTTTGATGGAGCAAGGCTCTGATTCAGTACAGGGCAGCATCCAGTGACCACGTGGCCAATACAGAATGGTTTATCACGGAATCTCATCTAAAGATTCTTAACCGTACATGACCCCCTTTACATGTGGCATATGAGAAAGTTTCTCTTCAGCTCATACTGGCATGAGAAAGAGTTGGCGTATGGGTCAAGGACCATTGCGGAAAGGAGAACACACAGGACCGACAAAAGGAAATACTACTTTATACAGAGAGTGATTCAAATGTGGAATTTTCTGCCAGAGGAGGTCGTGAGGGCCACAGGGATAAACAGCTTTAAAAGGGGTTTAGACAGATTCATGGAGGATAAATCTATCAATGGCTACTAGCCATGGTGACTGAGGCGAACCTCCACATTCAGAAGAAGTAAACCTCTGAATCCCATAGCCAGGAGGTAACATCAGGGGAAGGCCTTGGCCTCTATGCCCTGTTGTTGGCCCTCCAGAGGAACTGGCTGGCCACTGTGTGAGGCAGGATGCTAGACTAGATGGACCGCTGGCCTGATCCAGCAGGGCTCTCCTTATGTTCTTATCAGGGGAAGGCCTTGGCTTCTGTGCCCTGTTGTTGGCCCTCCAGAGGAACTGGTTGGCCACTGTGTGAGACAGGATGCTGGACTAGATGGACTCTCACTGGTCTGATCCAGCTGGGCTCTTCTTATGTTCTTATCAGGGGAAGGCCTTGGCTTCTGTGCCCTGTTGTTGGCCCTCCAGAGGAACTGGTTGGCCACTGTCTGAGACAGGATGCTGGACTAGATGGACTCTCACTGGCCTGATCCAGCAGGGCTCTCCTGATGTCCTCATGTTCAAACAAATGGCCCAACCAAAGTAGCAGCCAGGAATGTTCATCTCTCCTTGCAAAAGAGGAGCCCTGCCGAGAGAAGGAGCCGCGGAATCAGAAGAAGATCTTCCCCAGGACACGGAAGGTGAGCGCCAACGTCTGAAGCCGCCGAAGAAAACCAGACATCAGCAATGAATAGGCCCCACTGCCAGATGCTGGTAGGAAGTCACCCCCCCCATGATTGTGGCCTTAGTTAGGGAACAAATAATTGTGTGAGCCGCTCAGAGACCCCTCGGGGTTCGAGCGGGATACAAGCCGAAAGTATAAATAAATAAAAGGCAAGCAAGGTCTGTGCCCGCAAACGTACGTGGCTACATTTGCGCAGTTTCTCAACTCGTGCTCAAAGCATGAGTTTTGACGCACTAAGCAAATACTTATAATTCATGAAACAAACAAATCCTCTGGCAGGCTCCTGAAACCATTAAAGCCTTCTATGCTCTATGCAGAGACATTTAATCAGCGTAGTCGGAAGGTTTCATGAATTAGGCAAAAGTCTGGCCGCTGTCATGAATTAGGCAGAGGCTCCGCCGCTTGCGAGACTGAAGCAATTTTATAAATTTAACACAACGCACAGAACAGCGGCAATAATGGTTTTGCATCTTCGCAGACTCCTGCCAGTACCTTCCCCGCTTTTATTCAGATTGGAGGGCGCCGTAAGAGGCCTGAGCGGAATGATGATGTCGTCCGCCGTAATCCCTTCTTCCGTGTGCTTCTCGGAGACGTGGGACAGCAGCTCTGACTGGCTTGGGGAAAATAAGTTACAGAGTTTGCACATGAAGATGGATCTGTTCCCTGGAAAAGAGATACAAAAATAGAGGTCTGTTAGCTGTTGTTTTTTCCCTTCCCAGATGGCAAAGTTCGTTTGAAAAATCCGAGAAAGTATTCATGCTGAACTTTTGTCTTTAATTTGGCTCAACCAAGGCACGGTCCTAAGCAGATCTGCTCAGAAGTCAGTCCCGGGTTTATTCATTTGTTTAGAATATTTCTCCACCATCTCCTTGGAGACCTGCTCGAGGCGGCTTGTGATTTAGAACATGAGCCGTTAAAAACGCAAGCCGTGCCCTGACCTGGATAGCCCAGGCAAGCCCGATCCTGTCAGATCTCGGAAGCTAAGCAGGGTCGACTCTGGTTAGTACTTGGATGGGAGACCTCCTTGAAATACCAGGTCCACGGAGGACAGGGGCAGGCTCTATCCAGCCACCTCTCTGAATATCCTTCAGGCCCCTCAGTCACCAGAGGTCAACGTGACTTCCAGGTGCAGACACACACACTCACACACACAAAAATACCAAAAAAAACCAAACCCCAAAGCCATTAAACATCAGCAGCATAAAAACGAACCCAAAAACAGAAGCAGACCATACAACAGTGATAAGATAAACCCCCCCCCCCCAATTATAAGGATTTAAAAATTATGTCTTTTAACCCGGCACCTAAAAGAAAGTCAGGTACGTGCCAGGTGGACCTCAAGGCAGTGGGCACTCCAGAGACGAGGTGACACCCCAAAAAGACCCTCTCTCTAAGTTGCCATCCACCTTATCACTGAGGGCTGCGGCTCAGAGAACAAAGCTTTAGAAGCAGACCATGACTGGCGGTGGAGACAATATGGGAGAGGATGGCCCTTCAGGTACCACGATCCCAAGCCATTTAGGGCCTTAAAAGTAAACAAAAAAACCCCCAGCACTTTGAATTGTGCCCAGAAACAGATGGGACTACTACTGTGGTGGCTCAAGTGGTTCAGACGCTGAACTGCAGGCTGTGGAAGGTCAGTAGTTTAACAGTTCGAGACCCGGGTGCCGCATGACGGAGTGAGCTCCCGTCTCTAGTTCCAGCTCCTGCCAACCTAGCAGTTTGAAAGCAAGAAATTGCAATTAGATAAATAGGTACCACTTCGGTGGGAAGGGAACAGCATTCTGTGCGCCTTGGTGTTTAGTCAAGCCGGCCCCATGACCTCGGAAACGTCTTCGGAAAGCGCTGGCTCTTCGGCTTTGAAACGGAGATGAGCACCGCAACCCTAGAGTCGGATTCGACTGGCTTTCGAGCAAGGGAAACCTTTACCTTTTTACTAGTGCAGATCTTCCAGTGCAGGGATGATACGATCCCTGTGACCAATGTTATTCAGTTAGAGCTCACTCCCTGAAAAACACTGTTAGAACTACAGCCTGTTAGAAGCAACACATAAGCACTGGTGAGACGAGACGTAAGAACATAAGAACATAAGAGAAGCCGATGTTGGATCAGGCCAATGGCCCATCTAGTCCAACACTCTGTCACACAGTGGCCAAAAATACCAGGTGCCATCAGGAGGTCCAGCAGTGGGGCCAGGACACTAGAAGCCCTCCCACTGTTGCCCCCCCCAAAGCACCAAGAATACAGAGCATCACTTGCCCCAGACCGAGAGCTCCTATCTATACCTTGTGCCTACTAAACACTTCAATTCCCTCTTGAAGCTGTCCGTGCGTGTAGCCGCCACCACCTCCTGTGGCAGGGAATTCCAGTGAAGTACGGCAAGCCTGACTGAACTCACTTGGCTTTGGAATGGCTCGGGTTCACTGTCCCTCTGCTTCCCACTGATGACAACTGGCCACGGCTGTGGGCACGACTGCCAGTTGCCTGTGGCAGTTATGTGTCATCAACCCGGCCACCACATCCATATGATTTGGTGGCACGTGGGCATCAATGAAATGTGTGTTTGGACTCTTTCCGAATACTAGTTAACGACTCAAAGAGCGTAAGAAAAGTTAATGAACATTCTGGAAGAGGCCAACAGCTCAGCCAGTAGCAGGCAGGTGAGGTGCACATAGCCAAGAGCAGGGGGGTGTCGAACTCATTTGTTATGAGGGCCGGATCTGACATGAATGAGACCTTGTTGGGACGGGGCCGTGTGTGTCATAACATGTAAGGCCAGGTAGCAGAGATATAAACTTTATAAAGGACACAATCACAAAGGGGTTTTTTTTAAACTTAAAATAAAAACATGCTTAAAAAATTAGCACTCTTGTGATACTTTGTTTATTTAACCGTGTCTGATAACTGACAACTCTTGCTCTGAATTAAACAGCATCAAAATGTCTGTGCTGTTGCAATCTTGAGCATGCTGTTCAGGTGTGTCTCTGGAAGCTGCAAACCTATGATGACAAAGCAGCAGCAGAACTGGACGTAGAAGAAGAAAACAGCCAGTTCCACTGCGGGCCTGATAGGAGCCCTCCGGGGGCCTGATCCAGCCCCCGGGCCGCATGTTTGACAACCCTGGCCGAGAACATATTTAACACATTTTTATCCCATCCTCTTTCCAAAGAGCCCAGGGTGGTGTACATCATTTGCTCCTCCTCCTTTTTATCCTCACAGCAACCCTACGAGGTAGGTTAGGCTGAGAGGGGGCAATTAGCCCAAGATTTGACGCAGAGTGGGGATTTGAACCCGGGTCTCTCTTGCCCTACTCTGACACTCTTAACCACTACACCATACACAGTGCCACACAATTATGCCTGTGCGCAAACAAACAGCAAACAGGACACGACTTGTGCATCTGGTGCTTCTTCGACCATGGGCCTCACCCATACCCTTTTGGCATTCACCTCCACATAGCGTTTTGTTCAGGGGTCGTCTCGTAGAAAAAGAGCTAGGGGAACTCATTAGCATAACTCATTAGCATATGCCACACACCCTGACATCACCGGAAGTGTGCCATAAGGCCACACCCCCTGACATCACCGGAAGTGTGTCATAAGGCCACACACCCCGCCCCCAATGGTCCCGGCCGCCGCCGCTGGCCTTGCAGCTCTACTGCCGAGCCCCATGAGGGGCCCGGCGGTGGACCTGCAAGGCCGGCGGGAGTGCAAGGAAGCCCCGCAAAGACCCTCCCTGACCCCAGGCAGGCAGGGGTGGGGAGAGGCAGGGAGGAAGCAACTTACCCTCCCTCTTCTCCTGCCTCCTCCTGGATGAATAAGGGCTGGAAGGGGGCGGCCGGAAGCGGGGGGCGGGGCTTCGTCGTGTGCCCTGCCCCCCGTACCTCACCTGGGGGAACTGCGATCCCCCATGATCCCCCCCGAAATGACCTCTGGTTTTGTTCTTTTAAAGGGATTCTTCAGACACGGTCCCTACTTGCACGTGGCAGACCTGAAAGCCTGAACCGCCTTCTGTTCTATTCTGTTTATTCTCACGCAGGCCCCTCTTGGAAAGCGAGACTGCGGACAGGAGCTACCCGGCAGGTCGGATTTAGCAGGTCGGATTCTTTAGAGCGTAAAGAAATTGGGTTCTGTAACAGATGTGGGGGCAGCACCATGTAGTAGAGATGGGACTATATAGATTTTTCTCTTTTTTGATTATTCATATTTCTTTGGCTTTTACAGGTTTATTATAGATTTAACATTTTATTGGAATGTAATGAAGGCCTGCTATATAGAAGGTCTCTCTCCTTTCTGGGTCAAGGGGATTTTTCTAATTGATGCTAACAGACAAGACAATAACATTCTTTTGGTACAAAAGAAGATAGAAGGTTCATGGTTCTAATTGTTTAAGGTTATAACTTCATCGTGTCTGGGTCAAAAGGATCTTTTACCTGGTATCAGAGAAAAACACTTTTGTTTGGGTGAGAACAAGCTTTAGCCGATATGGTCATGTCAAGTAAATATGTGACGCTATTGCATTTGCCACCAAATGAGAAGGGAGCACTCCCTGGAGAAGACCCTGATGCTGGGAAAGATTGAAGGTCAAAGAAGACGGGGACGGCAAAGGATGAGATGGTTAGACAGTGTCATCGATGCAACGAACATGAAATTGAGCCAACTTCAGAGGACAGCGGAAGACAGGAGGGCCTGGCGTGATCTGGTCCATGGGGTCGCGAAGACTCGGACTCGACTGTGCGACTGAACAACAACAACAACAAATTGCATAGACACACCTTTCTTACATTTGACCAATAAGGAGATTTTTATGTAAATGTTGTTTAAGTTTTTGTAACCAATTATGCCTTTTGAATATTATTCCCATGATGATGATATGATGATGTCATTTTAGGTATTTAACTTCATGTATTTCCTGATTGGGCTCAGAAAGCAGTCAGCTTTGATGGGTCCTTTGGCCTAACTGTTTTCCGTATTTCATTGCAATAAAATACAAGAACTTCCTCATCCTCATTTCGACTTCAATCTTCTTTTTTTGACTGGATATTAATTTGTATAACAACCATGAGGGAGCCTGGACAGAAGAGCCCTCAGTCATTACAGTGCGTGAATATTCCATTCATCACCAAACCCTGCCAATAACTGTGATGTCTGAGATCTGATTCAGAGGATCTCCTTGATGAAGGATGCAACCTGGATAAATCTGCGGGGGGTAGGGAGGGAACGTAAACAAAACAGCTCCTAAGCTGGCAGAGGTGGTTAGCAACCCCTTTCAGGACACAAAACACATAGCTTAAATGCCCAACTTTTCTTCTTCTTTTTTTTATATGTGCTAAGCAGAACTTCATTAGGCGTACATGTGGCAAGTGACTGAGGAAGCTGCACCTGTAGAATTCTTGCCTGGAATTGCGATAGCGGTGGGGGAAGCTCTATGTTTTCTACAGATGTGTCATGCCAGTATCACTGGGTAGCAAGTGTTTGGGAAGACGCTACACCAGTTTAATGTCTACCTGAGCACATCCGCAAAACCCAGTCAAAGCTAAGTGTGGGCTAAAGGAGCTTAACTTGTACGAACGTAAGAACAGCCATGCTCGGTCAGACCAAAGACCCATCCAGCACTCTGCAAGCATCATATGCGAGACCTATAACGTGCTTGCTGCTTACGTA